TGTGCACACAGGCCATGGAATTCATTTCCATCATATTCAATGCTCTAGAAGCATGCTCATGTATATCTTGTTAATTATGAAAGTGGAAATACCAATAATTTACAAGCTTTTCAAATGTGATTTTTTAAAATTTTAATTATAAAATAAACATATCAAATGCTCATCTAATTAAATACACCAGAAATTATTTGTGTCAATAAATATAAAAAAATAAAATGTTAGCATGACTATTTGACTCGCCTAACTACGGGTTGAGTAATTTTTTTTTTTAACGCAGAATAATTAATATATAGATATTATTAGCATGTTTTAAAGTAAAAAAATATATTAATGAATAAAAAAATTAATACTTATATATAATAAAATATAATAAAAATCATTTACATTAATAAAAACATGTAAAATCTTAACCTCACTTTTAACATAATAGAGCAGCAGAATAAAATAATATTGTAATTACTATAACAAAAGCACTATTTCATCAACTTATTTTCTCTAAATAAATAAATAAAAACCAAAAAATTAACAATTTTAACACCACTACAATAAAAACAATTATTAAAATTTCTAATTATATCATTTCTACGAGAAAATACTATTTACTTGTAGTACATGTATAATATAATGTAAAAAGAAGGATTTTAAACTATTTTTTTTATTAACGTGGGTGTTTGAGCCAGCTTGCTCGCACCACGACTAATCCCATGACCCATTAGACATCCTGCAAGCCTAGTGAACAAATAAAACATCGCGAAAATGACAAGTATACCATACAAAAAATACCTAACAGAAATACAAAGAAAATAGATCTTCAACTCAACTCCCATTATAACTCAAACCGAAGTTCAAAGAAAAAAGAACTGCGCCAAGACCACTGAGCGAACCTGATAAGTGATTTTAAACTATTTACATGTATGAGTCGCGGTGCTATTAATTAAAGTATATATTTAATTCAGACATTTAAATAGTATTATTATATGTTGCTAAATATCCAGAGATTGCCCTCGTAGAAAAGATACTTATTGTGAGGTTATAAATCTACAACCACAGAGAAACTTCAAATTGAAGATTGTAGCTAGTTTACAATTAACAATTACACCATCTCCAAGAAAGATACAGAAAATAATTAGCTGAGGAAAAATCCAAAAAATTCCATTCTGAGAAATTTAACAAGTTTCATTTTCACGCCAAAGCTAGTCGATGACAGAGGATGTCTGGTGTGCACACAGGCCATGAAATTCATTTCCATCATATTCAATGCATCTAATTAAATACACCAAGAACCATTTATGTTAATAAATATAAAAATCAAAGTGTTAGCATGATTATTTGACTCGCCTAGCTGCGGGTCTAGTGATTTTTTTCAACGCAAAATAATTAATATGTAGATATTATTAGTATGTTTTTGAATAAAAATATAACTATAAATAAAAAAATTGATATTTATATATAATAAAAATTATTTACAGTAAAAACATGTAAAATTTCAAGTTAATTTTTAACATAGTAGAATTAGAGAATAAAATAATGTTACAATTACTATATAAAACACAATTTCATTAAGTTATTTTCTCTAAATAAATAAATAAAAACCAAAAAATTAACAATTTTAACACCACTACAATAAAAACAATTATTAAAATTTCTAATTATATCATTTCTACGAGAAAATACTATTTACTTGTAGTACATGTATAATATAATGTACAAGGAAGGATTTTAAACAAAATTACAACCTCCCAATCAAATATATTCTTTCGATGTGTTTCGAAATTGTTGTCTATAATTTAAATGTCAAATCATTAATTGTTTGGGATTTTAATGTTCAACTGCTCTCTCCTTCATTTATAATACCATATACTCCGAGTCTATCAAATAAATTTAGACCCTGTCAAATTTATTTATTGCCAATTTTTGATAAGATATGGTAGCATCCATTACCATCTCCCCAGCTCTCTCTCTCTCTCTCTCTCTCTCTCTATGTACTCTCAACTATAGAAATATCACTGGTCCAGTTTTTACATATCACTTTCATTTGCATATTGGGCTTGTGGTGGTCCAGCTCTTGCCCATGTGATAGAATCATCTAAAAGATTTCTTCACCCTGCTCTAATTACGACAATGCTAAACAAGCGAGGGGTTGTGTTTCATACCGTTTTTAATGCCTTTTGCTCCTAGTTTGCTGCGTTTTATTAGTGTTTTAGAACAAACAAAAAAAAAAAAATTATGTTGGAGGTATATGAACAAAGATATAAAATAAATCTATGTGAAAAATAAGAGAATTTTAAGTCAAGGTTGTTTATAATATGCAGACCACTGTTCAATATACAATATATGGATTCTAATTTCACTTCCACCGTTTGCTACCTTGTTTTGGGCTGCGTTTTTAACTGTTGTTAGAATGTATTTTAAAAGCGTGTTTCTTTTTTTAAAAAAAAATTAAATTAATGTTTTTTCAGTATTTTTTTTAATAATTTAAAAAAGACATTAAATTTCTTTAGTGTTCAATTTAATTGGGTCAAGTTTTTATTTAATGAATCGAGTGAAAACTTGACTTAGGTTTCATCCATTTTAAACCCTCCACTTCCTTTACAGAGATCATCCCTTGCAAAAGACCAAAATAAAGAAAAAAAACCAAGACATTGTCTTGTAGGGGACGGTGAGGGACACGGAACTCTTCATTCCTTCGGCCATTAACTATTTCATAGCAGCTGATCCGATACGTTGCCCTCGAACATAAAGTTGTGGAGCCTGAAAAGGAAGTGCTTGAAAAATCAAAGCAGTTAATTGCAAGATTTAGAAGTGAATACAGACTTTAAAGTCAATTGCCATCTTTCCATAACTAGCATGAAGAAAATAATACCAAAACATTGAAAAACCCTCCACGGACCAGGAAAACTTCTCAGCCTTTTTATTGGAATCCAGTGCGTTTTCCTTCTAGGACCTATCTTGACACTTCAATTCATCTCTATCCGTCTCGGCCTTTGGGGTAATTTGATTCATTTTGACAGCTGCAACAAGTTGGCTTTTATAGGGGTTTGGCTTTAGTGAATCTCAGGTACCACGCAGAGCAGTTTGCTTGGTGTATCTGTGTTGTTTTGATGCGTTGGAGTTTGTACAGTGGCTAGAGTTATTGTCTTTAATGGTGGCTGTAAAGGGGCCTGCTTCCATTCGACACGTTCACAGCTAAAACTGAAGGGTGCAAGAGCGTGTGTAGTTTGTCTACTTTGGCGGGTGTGGTTTGGTCTCACTCGTGTAAACAAGGGTTTAAGGGAAAGAGATTAGAGTTAGTGTTTTGTCCTGTTCTTATAGAGAAGGAAACAGTAGCGTTACAGGACCCGACCCTGCTGCCGGTTGATCAGGATCCAGCCTTTTATCACAACACATTGCAATATCAGCAATTAAAATAATCTGTAAAAAAGTGTTTTTTTATCTAATACTATGAAATGGCTCATTCACTTCCCTTCATGGCTAACGTTTTTCATCTCAATTAAGCTTGTCGAAATAAGTACTCGTTTGGAAATGTAGGCGATGCAATCCCCTTTTCAAACCAAAAACAAGCTTTGGTGTTTTTTATTTGAGAAACCAATCGCATAAATAGGATAAAACATTTGGAGCAGAGCAGGAGGAGCTATCTCCCAAATAAACGACTCTAGCGTCTGAATTTTGTATCCGAACTGAAGCCCAACAATGGGGTGAGGTTCATTTTTACTTGACAAAAGCCCGTCCAAGTCAAGATTAAGCGAACTACTAATGGTTCTAAACTTGATTGTTAGCTTAGCCCATGATTATATTTTGTCTTGTTTAAATTAGGAATTTTATAGCTTGTTTTTGTTGTTTCATAGATTTTTTTATTTTATTTTTATCACAGAGATTTATCTGTAAAAAATAGATTGGGTTATTAAGATTCTTCTATTGATACCTCTGTAGCAGCAATTGTTGTTTTCTTTCTGTTGTGGGATGATGCTTATTGGGGGTGTGGAACGTTGGATAGTTTTAGACAAAAAAATGAAGATGGGCAAATTTGAGTGTCTACAATTGCCCCTCTTCGTAAATTTCCGTGGTAAAGAAAGTGTGCAAAGAAGTCGCAATCAATTTTCCTAAAACGGTCATGGAACATTTTCAATTAGATTGGACTTGAACATTGTCAAGTTTCCTAAAATTGATTCAGCTGGCGTCAAGCTAATTGCAATCGGTGTTGTTACTCCAGATAAAGCTGCTATGCTGGCCGACCGGTGTGTTTTAGGTAGTGCACTTGATTTTAGTTCGTGTATGTCTTCAAGAATAATCATTTGGCAGGCAGCATTCATTAAGCTGATGGTGTTTCTTTAAAGCATGTCTTCTTGAAAATTATTAAATATTCGAAGTTAACACATTCTAATGGATTCTTGGACACTCGATGTTGCTCGATTTCGGATGCAGTAGTATTGTGTCTTGATGATTTCTTGCAACAATGGCAAGAATCATAAGAAAAATATTTGTGATTTTGTTGTTTGATTTGGCATGTTGCTTTCTGCTCCAAAGCTGCAGTAAATCATCTTCCGCAGCCATCTTTCCCAAGACTGGAGATGCTTACATTTCTTTGTTGAGCCATTTATCATCAATGAAAAGTTATTCAATAAACTGGGAGGCACTCCTTTACTCTCACATACTAACGGGGTGCACGGATTGTTATTGTGGTGGGTCGCATTTGCATGCGAGGGGCTTTAATATACTGCCAGAATGTTGAATAATTTCCATCATCAATCATTTTCCTAGCAAATTCCAAGCCATCATTGCATTTCTACACTTGTTATTGTTTTTCCATGCTATGGGCCATTTTTCTTTGGGCAGTTGTTGTAACTGAATGATTTCTCTCGCTGATGATGTTTTATCGGTCACCATTTTCAATGGATTGCCTTTATGCTGACCCTGAGCGCAAGGTAATGATATATGCTCAAGTCTTACATCTACTTGTTATATTATATATCTTAGTTTACGATGGCAGACACTGAAGGACACTCATTCTATTTCAGGCTTGTGATGTCCTGGGCTTATACTATGGTTTTGAACGTACATTCTTCAATCCAGCTAGCGTAAGCTTCCTTTTATGCTTTCTGTAGAAGTCTTTTTGGAGCTTGCCTGTATTCGCAATATGCTTCATTTTTCATGCTTTGGTTATAGGCTAAGGTGTTTTCAAGATCTCATGCTCCGCGTAAAGCTGTGAAAAACAACACCATCGAAGCCACCCCAGATGATAGAAGTGGTGCACTGCAACAGGTTTGATCCACTCCTGACTACTGTCCAGTGATGAGGATTTTCTTTTATATCTTAATTTACCTGTAGGGACTTCACAAATAAACAGAAAAATATATATATATATATATATAAATGATTACAAATTATAGACATTTTAACAATACTAGGTTCCCTATCAACCTGTTCATGGACCTGTGAAGTCAACATTGAGGAAATATGTGTGTGTGAATCGATGATCCTGAAATCAGTCTCGAGCTTGGTTCGTTTATCAAATACACATGCTGCAAAGCTATCTGTCAATCCCAAGACTGAACTATTTATGACTTGGTTCTTCTGCAGCACTATCTGCCCTCACTATAATTCCAGCAAGTTCTGTTCGGTTGTTCTCAGGGAGGAATGTTTGTCTTCAAAGGGACTCAGTTATTGTTCCAGTTGCATGAAGGTTCACTGCATAGCAAATACCAGTCTTTCACTGGTTAGTCTCCAGCTTTTGTTAATCTGCTACCATGGAATAATAGTGGCAAAAATACATTGGTCTTTAGTTGTAAATCAGGAAGCACTGGCTAATGCCTGTCGAATGTAGTTATCAGAACTCGTCTGTATTTTACCATGTATATCTGCTTCAATGTGTTGATTTTCAAAAAAATTAAATAAATAAATAAATAAGGAAAGTTTAATCAGCTAGGTGGGTGTCCTAATCAATCAAGCTTTCTAAAGTCAAATACGTATGGCACCTCTATAGAAAAATACCCAAATGCCATGAGCAAACATCCCTCTCTGCTGTCATTCCTTGTGCTGTTGCAAATTAATCCATATTTCCAGGGCCTTTGTCACCGAAGATGGGTTAGGAGTTTGGGTTCTTCTCTGAAAGAAGCCTCCAACTACACCACCTTGTTAGACATTCACTTCTTTTCCCGGCAGAACTTTCTCTGTTTGCACTCTTTTAACACAGTGCAGGGGACATGAGAATGCGGGTAGCTCTGTCAATGGCACTCCGATGGCATCGGCAGGTGAATATTCAATATAGGGCTGGGCCATGGCTTGCTTTCCTTGCACATCTCCCACAACCTTGTAGGGTCTCTCTTCTTGAGCAGCAGGGCTAGGATGATCGCAAGAAAATATTCTACCATTTTGTCCTGAAAAATAACTTTTCCTTGGAGAAGCCTTAATTTATATCCATTCTTGATTGCATCCAAAACTTATAAACTTGAGATGATCTAATGTGCATGCTACCACTAAAACGGTGTAAATTTAAAGAGTTAACAAAAATGTTAAGGAACATTAATAGAAAGACTATCAGTTTATTAAATTAATCCTTATTTATCTATATATATATATATATATTTAAATTTGAATGATTGATAATTTTTTTTTATAATTTTTTTATATTCGTCTTTTACATAGTAATCTCGGTTTTATGATTTGTGTCATGAGTTTTGACAATTTAATTTTGATTTTTTTAGATATTTTGTTAAAATTAAATTTTTTTTATAATTTCATCCTTCGATATTAGGTTATTGGACCTCGAACTTCATGATTCTTTCAACTTTTTTTTCTATTTAATTATTCTTTCAACGCTTCCAAAATAAAATAAAATGATAGCTAATACTAGTCTTAGGTTTTCATAGAAAGTGTTTTCTTAAAAACTATTTTTTAAATTTTTCTGTTTTTATTTGTCATTAAAAAAGTTGGTCACCAGAAACACTTTTCAAGTAAAAAAAATTTGGCTTGGTTTTTATTAAAGTATTTTTTATTTATTTATTTTGAGTGGAAATTTTTTTTTAGAATTTGTAAAATTTTTAGAAATGTCATGTTATTTGCTGATTATATTAAATTTGCTCATCGAACTTTTGATTGCTATATATTTTGTTTTGATTTTTTTAATTTTATCATTTAGAATTTGATTTAATTTAATTTTCATCTTAACTTTGGTCCTCATTATTTATTTATTTATTATATTTTAAATAATTTATAAAATTATTATTATTATTTTTTAATTTTATCATCTTTCAACTTTTTTATCAGTTAGATTTGATCTCTATTATTTTAATTATTATTTATTTATTTAAGATAATTTATAAAATTAGATTTTTCTCATTTTCATTCTTATTTAATTTTTTAATTTATAAGATTTATTCTTCATTATTTTAATATTTTTTTTAAATAAAGTTATTTTTTATTATATGGCTAAATACTGAAAATATCTTTTTAATTTATTTTTTATGATATTGTTAAATATAAAAAATAATTTTTTTATAAATTAATTTTTTTAAAAAAAATTCTTTGAAGCAAGAATAACATTAAAAAATATGGGAAAAAGAGAGACAGATAGCGCGAAGGCTAGTAAAGAGGGCAACGACGATAACTGAGGAGCCTATAAAGAGCTGGCAGGGATCGATGGACAAAACACTTTTTTCGGGAACAAGTAAATACACATGCAATTTCTTTTTTAAAAGTAGAAGCAGAGCCCCAAATACTCTTATGAATTTCCATGCATAATTGCATGCATAAAGCCAAAAAAATAAAATAATAAATCCATGCTCTACTTTATTTGTTCCGAGGGTTGACCAATTTTAGCTATTTCTGCGATCTTCTTATTTCTACGCAAGTGTTAGTTTTAGCCACTGCATTCCAAAATTAAAAAAAAAAAATTAATTTTTTTTAATGAGATTCATATAAAATTTTGATATGTATTGTTGAATCAAATATATTTAAAATTGAAATAAGAGCAAGACAAAATTCCAACCGCATTACCGAAAACTTGTTGGCATTCTTTTTTCTACCATACCATGCCATTACTTGTTGTTCTTAACTTCATGTGTAAAACAAAATTTTTATTTTTATTTTTATTATTAATATAAATGTTCAGATTACTTTATATGCATCTTTATTAATTTTACAGGTTTTAAAATTAACAATCATAAATTTTTTAATTATTATGAGATTTATAAAATTTAAATTGATAATATTTATAAAATAAAATTAAAAGTTAATTGATTAAGTGACACGTATTAGGATTAAAATAAAATTTTTGTATCGCAGAAGATGAGAAGAGGAAAGTAATTAATCTCCATAGGATGTTAATTAGTTATTAAATGTTCATTCAAGTATATTTAATTTAATCATTTTATTAGAATACGAGAGTAATTAATTTTCGAAATACCACAAACCAATTCCCAAATTTTTTTTAATTGGGTTGTTTTCGAAACTTTTTTCGTGTGAAATATATTAAAATAATATTTTTTATTTTTTAAAAAATAATTTTTAAATTAGTGTATCACAATGTTTTAAAACATAAAAAAAATTAATTTTTAATTAAAAAATTAATTTTTTAAAAACATGATTTGTGCCAAGTTACCAAACATTATCTACAAACCTGGGGAGATCTTTCTCAAAGCCTGGAAGGAGATTTGGTTTGGCAAAATCGGCTTCAGATGGCTTGCGCTTCTTGATGATATCTGGTTCCGGTCGTGTAGGCTACTGTGAGCTAATCCAGGCTTGAAAGAAGACGCGTAAGCTCTTTTTTTGCTATCATTTGGCTGATAAAGAACAATCTGATCTTTAGTAATAAAGATCCTCACTATGAAATCATGTTCCTCGTTGTTTTCACCAGGCTGTCTATGGATTAAAGCCATTCACTATGACTTCCCGTTCTGTTCATCCAAAAAAGTTAGAATGTCAAACCAGCAACTAAGAAATGAAAGGAAGGGAAAGTTATCATGTCCATTGATGATTCAATGAACTCGGCAATTGAGTTTGCTAACAACTGAATTTCCATTGCTGCTACTCTTTGTTCTCTGATAACACCAGCTTATATGAATATTAATGTCCTTTAAGGGATAAAACTTGGTTTCCTTCAAAACCCACTAGATTAGACACCGGCATTTACAGAATTGAACAAAAACAATATTCTAAGACTGACCTCGCATCCCTTAGACTGGCCACACATACACCCCTTTTTTAGTGGGCTGGCCAAGTCATTTCTTTTTAGGCAGACTGACTATGCATCCCCTTAAATAAGGCTTATAATCTTAAATCAAATTGATATAACCCTAAATATAAAATGTATATGTATTAAATGCTTACATGTTCTCCTGCCATAATAGAGTTAGATAATGGCGGTAAGCATGCTAATTTCCTACATATCAACCTACTCTATCAATCAACATCTATTAGAGACTGTTATTCCATATAATTACCTTTGTACTTGGCTAAATAGAGTTTTACCATCTATGCCCCTCATTTCATGCAAGTTGAAATGCTTGTTCGTACGCATACACAAACAATTCTTCTTTCATAACATCTATATTTATCATCTCTTTTAATTCTCTACAAATATAAACAATATAGCCTTTAAGGCTTTATTTCTCTTACACCAATTTTAACTTAAGCATTTAAGGATTTTTTAAACTTAATAAGAGACTTATTTTGCGGATGTTCTTTAAACCCAAGTCTAACATTAATCTTAATGTCTCAGCCTGTTTACTAGCCTTGGAAAGACTTTGATCTCATGGATTTTTTTTTTTTTAATGAAATTCATTACTGGCTTGTCTAAGACAACATCTTAAATAAAAGCTAATTCAATTCCTTTTCTTAATCATTTTTAACATATATTTTCTTAATCTTTTAGATCTTTAATAACCAGCTTATAAAGTAAAAATACTTATAGAAATTTTTTTTAACTACATAAAAGCAACTAAGAGCCTTGATTTTTATCGAGTAAATGGCTCCATCTTGCAGACAACTTCAAGTTCAAGATGAAGCATGTTAAAATAATGTGCAATAGATGATGAAAGAATGCCAATGCTCTCAAAGCCAACATAAGAGCAATCATCACCATCGTTATTACTCCTCATTAAAACTTGTTCTAATAGCCTATTAAAAAAAGATATAGAAAAGAAGTTAAATATATTGTTATATAGGTCATGGCTTTTTATTGACTAAATAAATGTTTGACATGTCTTTCAAAAGATTTTATCTCTATAAAAATAAACTGAATTAATTATAATAGGCTCATAAACCCAATATAACATGAGAAAAACATGCATAACATCAAAAATTGATCATGCAAGGTATGATGCCATGTGTAAGTTTTTCCCGATAAAATTCTCTAAGTCTAAGTGTTTTTTACTTTCAAAATCTAATTTTTAACATATTTTTACCTAAAAACACATAAAAAAATTCATAGAAACCTCCGTAACTATATTTTCAACACCAAAATATATTTTAACCAATCCAAAAACTTAAAATCAAATTAAAACACATGTTTTGGATTACAATTTATTTTTTCTAGCAGGATTTAAGGTCTAAACCATTTTTATCAAGCTTCATTTTTCAAAATGAACTTGTTAATATTAATATTGGTGTTTTTTATGGTTAAAATATGATCGCGCAAAAGCTTTTCCTCTCTTCTCCTCTCTCAATTACCAGATACTCAAATATGATATAATGAAGTTTTATGAATAAAATATAAACTTTTAAAACTATAAACTATAGTGTTAAAAATTATGTCCCCATGAACAATGCAATTAATAGTGTTTTGTGTGGAAACAAATGTATTACATATTGAAATATCATTTTATATTAGTTTTAATTTTTATTTTTAATTTAATTTCAATTATTTT